TGACAAGCCAAGGTCCAGGCAGTGGGGCGCAGGTGAAAGAGCTGCTAAGAGGATTTACTTTTGGCCATTAAATTGCCAAAGAAACTCCCTTGCACATCAGACAACTGAAGGTTGCCCCCTCATCTCATGTGACCAGTCATGCCTGCCCCCTTCACAGTCTGCATACAGACACCCTGCAATCCACTGGCACACAGGGCTGAAACACTACAGCAGCCAATATTGATCCAGGCGCACCAACATGGCACATGGAAAGAGGAGGGGTGGGTGGAACAGAAATGTGAATATATCATGAGATTTCCTGCAGCAGCACCAGCATGTGATCACCTGTATACAAAATAAAAGGCTGAATATCGGCGCGTCGGGTTTCAATGAAGGGGTGTGGCAGCTGCGCCCAGACAGAGACTGGCTGCTCCAGGCTGGGGCTGGTATGCCTCGCATCTGATGCTCCCTCCAACGCGCTGATCGCAGGTTTACTGGAGAACCACAACCAAACGCGTGGGAACCCACGCAGCAGATAAGCGGTTTGCGTCTGCGCTGCACGATCCAGAGGCGCGTCCACACAAGTTTCTGTCATGCGTGATCCTAAACAAACGAGAGACGCGCTTTGTGCGGATTGACACCGTTCAAAAAATATGCGGGTACCGAAAACAAAACAAAGAAAAAAAAAGTTGTAAAGAAATAAACGTGCCGCCGGTGATATGGAAACATGGCGTGGAATCCTGCACGCCCACCGAGAATATGCGCTCCTCTGTTCGCGATGATCCATTTAAGCGCCTCAGCTGTGGCTGCGAAACACCAACAGCAGCGAATAAAACAAGTTACCTGGTTTCCATGGGAGAATTAACGGGAGAGCCTAATTTCAACACAATCCAAACATCATAAAGCAATGAAACACCCCGCACCAAGGGGCCCCCATCAGCATGCGGGGTCTCACGCTGACTGCTGTTAGGATATTCTAAAGAGAGGAGGTCACCCAGATCTGCGGGGGGGAGATGGGATCCACAATAAGCAGATTACAGGACTTACCTTTAAATGCGCTGCTGGAGCATTTCAGGCAAGATGCACATTTACCGACACGGCCTGCAGTCCTGCTGCTAAATATCCTGAGCGGGGAGAGAAATGTCCAAGTGGCCCCGGACTCTGCGTGGTGTGGATGTGATACAGAGAGAGAGAGAGCTGCTAGATGTGTGTAAATGGGGAGTGGGACAAAGAGGAAATACGTCATAATTACTGGCCAATGCGATTTGTAGTCCGTCGGCAGCAGGTCTTTGAACTACACAATGGGTCAGAAAAAAAGATTCCAACATTATTTTAAGCTTTTTGGGGTCATTTGATTGAAAAAGAAAAGCCTATAAGAATACAATTTATTTTAATTAATTGATTTATTTTATAAATTTAACAGCTAGTTAATAAAAACCCTCCCAAAACAGAATTAGGCTGACACACTTCATCATATAAATAATGATAATAATAATTAGTAATCTATTCATCCTTAACTTCAGTATGCAAACTTAAATGAAGCCTTTAAATGAAAAAGCAACCAACTCGAAGCAGTAATTATACCAAAATTATTAAATAAATAAGTACATATATATATAAACAATTTGAATTCCAGGTGAAAAAAACTGTTGTCCATTAATATCCCTTAAAATTCACTGTTTTTTAGCTTCACTTGGTTTAAATTCTGTGTTAAATCTCCTTTAAGGAACCTTTTGCCAACTGATTATTATATCTATGAGCACCTGTGTTTATGGATGTTGGAGATCGGCCTGTTTGTTTTAAAAGGTGTACTACTACTGCACAAAATTGCCCATACTGGGACAAATAAAAGCTACTGAACTGAACTGAACTATTTTTCCAGTGAAGTGTTTCTCTGACTGGGACTGGCTGGATGTGCTCTCTTCACCCTCTGATATGGGAGCTGGCCACGAGCTCGTCTGCCTGGCTGTTTGTTTCCTGGACAGGGTGGCATTTTACAGCTGATTTTTGTATCTCTGCTTCTCTCTCGTTAAACCCCAGTCGGCCTCGGCAGATGGCCGCTCACACTGAGCCTGGTTCTGCTGGAGGTTTCTTCCTGTTAAAAGGGAGGTTTTCCTCTCCATTGTCGCTACAAGCATTCTTAGTGTGAGGGATTGCATCCGAGTCAATGAGTCGATGCAATCAACTGGTTTTCCTTAGATAGAAAACTTTGAATCAATTTTACTGCATGATCTGGTGAACTGTAAAGTGCCTTGAGTTGACGTGTTGTGAAATGGTGCTATATAAATAAACTGAATTGAATCGACCGATTGCTAAAAGAATCAACAGATTAGTCAATTAGCAAAAAGTCTTTAGTGGCACTCCTATATAAGAATATTATATAAAACAAAATTTAAAAAATGATCTTCGCAGGAAATGTTATGGTGGAAGCAGATGACAGCCTCTGAGTCGTATTTTTAAATGAAAGTAGATCACAGTTGGTTATTTCTAAAGAGGCTGGCTGCTCACAGTGGGCTTTCTCCAAATGGAAAGTTAGGTGGAAAGTAAAAGGTAATACAACAGTGGACCATCCACATAGGTTATGGGAAGTTGGGGAGGCCTTTAAATCTAAAGACTATTGAAGGGTAAGGAGCATTAATTAGGCGTGGACTGTCCCTACCCGCTATCCCTTTTACTTTCGGTTGTCAGGAGTAAGAACTCTATCCAAGGTAGAGAAAGGACTCTGCTTTGCCCCATGCCACACTGTACTGATACAGCAATAATAAAAGTGCACACACTGCATGCTGTATGGATGTACTTTACACTAAGCTGATTTCTGTTTCAATTTTTTTTTAGCTGTTTTCATGAACCTTCTTGGCTTTAAGAGCTGAATAGTGGATTGATATTAGCTATAAGCCATAATTAAAATCACAATTGTGTTTGCAATAATTTAATATATGATTTCTACTATTTGCAGCCAGTAACAGTTATTTTTTTTTAATCATAATCATCTAATTTTGAAGGTTTAACACCCTAATGCAATAATTTCTGTTTATTCTCTTTTAAAATGGAAATACTTATTTATTCCTTTTAAGGCTGTCATTTTCTGATTTTTCTTTTTGTGTTTTTTATGTGATGGATGCACTCATTTTGGTTCAGCTTGCAAATATTAAAATAAGCATTCTAAATAAAAATTATTGACAATTGTGGGTGTATTCAAACATCAAAGAGGTGAAAAGAAACTAAATCCGAAGCAGCGCTGAAAAGTTATATTTTACATTGTTTTGTATTTTAGATCTAATATGGTCTAAAACTTTCCTGGTCTGCAGATTATAATACCACAATATAGGCTGTTATTTTAAAATGGCACATGCAATAAAGTATGCAATTACTCTAAATTAGTTTTTCTTTTATTCCAAGGTTCCAAGGGGGATCAATGAAGGTCCAATAAAAGCGCTTCGTGAGTTTAACTTATTTTTGAGAGTTAACAATTCTTTTCTGGTGAGCCCTAATAATCAATTTAAAATAAAGTCCAAAAATCCTGGTTTATACTCCTTTACTGGCTGATCAGCTTCTCAGCCATGTTTTTTTCTTTATAATAGATGTTTTAAACACTTATTATATATTATGTGACGTTATTTTTAATGTATCTAATCTCCCATAGCCATAAAGTGGGCTTTACTTAATTTGATAATGTCTTTTTCAGCTGCCTCTATTCAGTAATCAATGCTCAGAGGGTGACTGTAAGTGTGCATTATGTTTCCCAATACTTTGCTGGGCTCAGTTAAAAATATAAGTTGATGGATTGGTAGCAGTTGCTCCACATGCTATAATTGGAGACTAGGTCTGTGTTGTCAGGGTACAGATGAATAAAAACATGATTCTAAATGGGGAGGGGTCAAAGCCAGAGGATGTTGACCCCGAGCTGGAGGAGGAGAACCAAAGCTAAATACCAGACATTCTGATACCAGCCTGTTACTAAAAAAATAAAACACCATTTCTAACACTGTGGTGTATTTTTTTCTACTGTTATAATCTCTAAAAATGACTGGCATGGAGGAACTCGACTGTCATTTGTTTTTTCTAATACCCACTCAATTATACTAAGAGGGTCACAATTTTGATTGTTTAATCTTATAATGATCTGCCTAAAAATGTGAGATCAATTATAAATTTTATACAGAATGTGTAATAAATCAATAAAATCAGTGAGCACCCTTAACACTGAAATGCGTGGAAAATTTCCCTAAAACTGGATTTTGGTTCAATTCAGAACCAGAATAAAATGCACCACTACTGCTCTGATAACAGGGTAAGAAAAGCAGACCAGTGTCGCCCCCATGTGGGTAAAGTCACACGCTACAAGCTACATGCAGCTACTTGGTGCTAATAAGGAAAGCTAAAACATGGTCATGCCAGGTGCATAAAATTGTATCTTTATATTTTATTAAGGCAGGCATTGTCTTGTTTCATTCCCATTTATTTTTTAAAAATTTAACAAAATAAAAAAATGTAGGGCACCAAATGTAAAAATAGTTTCTAACATTCATAAAATACATATTTAAATAGTTCTTACACATTTTTTGCTGCAAATGTCATTAATCCTCCAGAGCCAAACCTCCACAATTCTCAATAGTTCTTAACTTAAAGAAAGAAAAGAGGTCACAGTTCCCCTTAAATCACATTTTCTACCGCTGGCAGGTCAGCACGTGAAGAAAAAAGGAACAGACCAATAAATGGAGGCTCTACAGATTAATGGATAGAAGATTGCGATAGGAAACCTGGGAGGTGAAATGAAAGCATTTTATATACTTTAAAAACTAAAATTACTTTTAATTAATGTAAGGATCGTTAGAATATGTATGTGAATTTTATTTTAAAGGTGAATACTTTAAACCCCACAAAATATCTGATCACTTCATCAATTGCTTTTATTAAAAAAGTAAAGTTTTTATTGTTTTATTAATGTTCACTCAGCACCTCTTCTTTGCAGAAACTTCTGCAAATTTATCCAAAATAGACACTGAAGCAACCACATGGTCATAAGTGTCCAGACTCTTTATTGTAACACTCACATGCTTCATGACCCTCCTTATAGATGGTTCTACAAAAAATAAATAAATAAAAATAAATAAAGGAGCCCAGACTATGAGAAATAATTTTCTGTTCTAATGAGGAAACATGAAAATGGCCTATTACCAACATTCAGTCACTGTGCTCAATACTGAGCAAAGGGTCTGAATACTTGTGACCATGTGAGATTTCAGATTTTTTTGTATTAACAAATTTGATGAATTTTCTATATTCCTGGAATTATTTTCTCTCAGGATGTGCTGCTGACTGAATATCAAAGCAAAACAAAATGGGCTTCCTTCATTTTTAGCAAATGGATGCAATGAAACAAAGAATGCAAAAGGGGGTCTCAATACCTTCGGAACCCACTTTAATCTTTCTTATTTCGACCCACTTTACATTACAATCATTAAATAACTACTAACAGAAGTTATTTATTCCACGTTTAATACTTTAGCTTTTGGTTCTTGGATTTCAGACTTCATCCCTGGCAAACTGGTCCTCCTGCGAGCTGCTGTCTCAATGTTCTGCACCAGCTCCACATCCCAAGGGTGAGTGACAAAGCTGAGCACCTCCCCGTCCTCCACCCCCCCAGCTCTCCCCACCCTCCCTGCTCGGTGGATGTAGTCAGTGTGGGATTCTGGGCAGTCATAGTTGACGACCAAGCGCACCTTGGAGGTGTCCAGGCCACGTGAAGCTATGTCCGTGCATATTAGCACATTCGCGGTGCCCTTCTGGAAGGACCGGAAGATACCCGCCCTCACCTCAGCGGGCATCTCCCCCTGCAGACGAGCGTGCTGGACCCCCATCTCTTCCAGAGAATAGCCCAGCCAGTTGACGGTGGAAGACTTGTTGCAGAACACTACAGCAGCTCCTCCTCCTCTTTCATGCTGGAGCTTTTTCAGAGCTTGGTAGAGCTCCAGGACTTTATCAGCACCCTTTACCTTCAGGAACGTCTGCTTGACATGTGGCATGAGACAGTGCAGCATCTTGCTCTTAATTGTAACAATTCTGCCCAGGTCTGTCACCTTGCTAAGAACTTCTCCAACGCCATCAGGGAAGGTCGCCCCAATCAGGAGCAGCTGGGCTTTATGACCCAGGCCCCGTGTCTCCCTGGGATCGCTCGCAATGTTTGCCTGAGTTAAAATCTCCTCCAGTAATTCACAGAAGCTGGGGTCAAACATGGTGTCGGCCTCGTCTACCACAAAGAAGGTCAGCTCGCTTAAATCCAAGCAGTTTCTACGCAAGGCTTTGACAAGGGCGCCTGGCGTGGCCACTAAGATATCTGGAGGATTATTTTTAAAGACCATCTTAATGTGACCCACGCCTCTCCCACCACCCACAGTCCGTGTACATAAACCAAACGGAGCGCACAGAGTCCTGGACACAGCCGCCACCTGCTCGGCCAGCTCCCTGGAGGGAACCAGGACCAAAGCTCGGGTGATGTTGCTCTCTGATTGGACATCGGCCTGCAGCCTGTGGATGACAGGCAGCAGGTAGCTGAAGGTCTTCCCACTGCCCGTCTCTGCAGCACACAGAATGTTGTGACCTCTCATGACCTTTGGGATGGTCTGCAGCTGAACTACAGTGGGGTGCGTAATCCCGTTTCTCTCCAAAGTTTCCACCAGCTCCTTGGAGATGTGAAGGTCCTTAAATGTTGGGGATGGAGCGTGTTCAGTGTCCTTCTGAGCGCCTGCAATAAAAGGAGCCACTTCCTTGGTGCTGTTGATGGTGAAGTAGTCACCAAAGGACTTGTTGTGTTTCCATCCCTTTGAGCAGAGGACGGGCTGCTCGAACTTCCCCACGGCGTACCCCGCAGACTGGTTTAGGGAAGGATTCCTGCTCTGGATCAGCAGTTTGCCCGCTTTCACGGTGCTGATCTTCGGTTTTCCTCGAGCTTGTTTCACGTTTTCCACGCGCTTCAGCAAGTAGCGAGGGACGCGGATAACCGGAGTGTCCTCTGGGTTCGGCCCGGGCTGACCGAAGAGAGTCTGTCTCACAGAGAAATGACGGCTTAAAGGCGGCAGGACGAATAGCCTGCCCGATCCGAGAGCTTGGAATGATGCCGAAGCTAACCTGCCGACCTTTAAGGTCTGCATTCTGATGTTGAAATATCTCCGAACTTCCAGATGAAACTTCCAGGAAAATAAAAACACGAACCCGAAAAAAGCTAACAGAAATGACCTAAGCGCTGAGGATCGATGAAAGTCTCCAGAAACTCTTTAAAACACACAGCAGCTCTGTTAGCTTGCCATCCAACCAGTGAGGGCCGCCATGTTTTCTGCGCGAATATGATGACGTTATTGTCGCAGAGAGATGACCGTTCAGAAAACGTTTATAAAAAAAGCAGATGAAATAATAGGATTAACTTGATATATATATATATATATATATATATATATATATATATATATATATATATATATATATATATATATATATATATATATATCTCTTTAGGGTGGCCAGATGTCCGGCTTTAGGGCGGACAGTCCGGATTTTCATTGCACTGTCCGGCGTCCGGCGCCGCATCCAGCCGGACGTGTATTTGCCCTCCTTTACCCACAGATTCCACATACTCCGTCAGTGCTCCGCTCCGCTCAAGTACGTCGTGCGGAGTACTTGTCTGTCATGTAAATCAATTAGAGCTGTTCCACATCCTCCACTACTCATCCGCACGTCTCTGCCCACGTACGTCTTCTCCGTCCTTCACCGTCAAAATACGGAACTGAGCTCTTTTTGGCTCCGCTCCCGTCAGTCCAGATCAAGACCCGCAATTGCAATCGCACCAAACAGGATAAAGAATGTAGAGAGGACCCGGTTTGTCAAATTAAATTATAGTAAAAACAGGTCGGTTACTAGAAATTAGAGCATAGTTCGTATATATTCCCAAAATCAAGAGCAATTAATTAAATAACTGGATGCAGACTATTGGTGCTTCAACAGACCAAAAAATTCTTATTGCAGGAATGGATGAAGAGATGATGAGTTTGGAAGCGGAGAACAAACATAGTTCATACAAACTATGGATAATTCTGTTTATTCCTGTTACAAAAATCCACAACAGAAAGAAAATATTTGGGCAGAAACTGAACATCTGCTGGATGATGATGGGGATTTTTTTTAATTTTTCATATTAAATTAAACGTTCACAGGGTTTATACCGGAATGAGGAACTCTAATTTAATGCTATTTTAATGCTATTAGAAACATGATGTACATGATACTTGTTGATGAAATTAAAATTATTTCAATTTCATCAACAAGTATCATGTACACAAGTTATTAGTATACATGAAATAAGGAGCTATAAGCACAGTTCCATGACTCAAGTTTGTGTATATAAAGAGATATATATATAGATAGATAGATAACATGGTGAAATCATCTTTACTCTCGACAGGCTGCAGCCATGTCACGAATTCCTCTTTTCCAGCCATTCCAGTATTTTCCTATTCTCTAGCTCTCTCTCCGCCTCAAGCTTATTTTCCAAACAACTGCTTTATGATCAATTGCAGCAGTTCTGCTCAAGTTAATCGTGTCAAAAAATAGTCACTTTTTAAACACCACAATGTATTAAATAAATACAATTGCTGGGAACCAATTCTTTTTTTACATCTCTTTAATATTTTGTTCTATTCCACTACACCAGCATCATCTTTAAACTACTAAGAATTGTACTATAAATGTGACTTTACCCGATTCTTATGTACACCGTAGTAATTTATTTATATGCCGCACAATGTCCTCCTTTTTGGTGCTATAGAAATGGCCACCCTAATATATATATATATATATATGTGTATATATACCAAGACTGCCAAGGCTAAGTGACAGAGTACCCTTTGAAAGTCTTCTAGAAGATATAAATGCAGCACTACATACTATCCCTACTAAAGATATAACTGAGACCAATGAGCTGACCTACGCCACAGCTACAGTGATCCTAGAGATGCTTGGCTATAAGATAAACACCACAGGCCAAAAAGCAGAGCCCCCATGGAGAAGAAGGCTGGAAGCCAAGATCAAGGCAACACGAAGAGAGGTTAGTCAGCTCTCAGAACTGCAGAAAGGTGTAGGGAAGAGGTTACCTAAGTACAACAAGATGTCGATTCCTGAGGCTCTGGAAACTGCCAAACAAAGACTCGCCGCCCTGGCCACCCACATAAAGAGATACAAGGGAGAAGCAGAAGCCAGGAGAATAAACCAGGTGTTCTCCACCAACCCATCCAAAGTGTACTCACAGTGGCAGGGTAATTCAAGATCAGATCCACCCAGGGCTGAGACTGAACAGTACTGGAGAAACATATGGGAGAAGGAGGCATCCCACAACACCAATGCTCAGTGGCTAGAAGATCTAAGAACAGATCACAGCAATCTCCCAGAACAAGAACCAGTAACCGTTACAACGGCAGATGTCCAAGAAAGAGCGGCAGGTATGAAGAGCACCAGGCCCTGACATGATCCACACCTACTGGCTGAAAAAACTAACCGCACTCCATGCACGCCTCGCAGCACAAATGAACCAACTGCTGATGGATGGGACCCACCCAGAATGGTTAACCCAAGGACGGACAATCCTGATCATGAAGGATCCGCAGAAGGGAACAACCCCATCCAACTACCGGCAAATAACTTGCCTATGTACAACATGGAAGCTCCTGTCAGGCATCATAGCAGCTAAGATGAATAGGCGCATGGCTCAATACATGCACCCTTCCCAGAAGGGAATAGGCAGCAACACCAGAGGAGTTAAACACCAGCTACTAGTGGATAGAGCAGTCACCCGAGACTGTAAGACCAGGCAGACAAATCTGTGCACTGCCTGGATTGACTATAAGAAAGCCTATGACTCAATGCCACATACATGGATACTGGAATGCCTGGAAATGTACAAGATCAACAGGACTCTAATAGCCTTCATCAAGAACTCAATGAAGCTGTGGAAAACAAGTCTGGAAGCCAATGCAAAGCCAATAGCACAAGTCACCATCAAGTGCGGCATATACCAGGGTGATGCACTATCCCCGCTGCTGTTCTGCATAGGCCTGAACCCCCTCAGCCAGATCATCACAAAGACTGGCTACGGATACCAATTCCGAAGCGGAACAATCATCAGTCACCTCCTCTACATGGATGACATCAAGCTGTATGCCAGGAGTGAGCGAGACATCGACTCCCTGATCCACACTACCAGGATCTACAGCAACGACATTGGGATGTCATTCGGACTGGACAAGTGCGGTCGCATGGCCTCAAAGAGAGGGAAGATGATCAGAACCGAGGGGGTTGAACTACCAGAAGGCCTCATAACAGATGTTCAGGACAGCTACAAATACCTTGGGGTACCACAGGCTAACGGAAACCACGAGGAGATGGCAAGAAAGACTGCCACAGCTAAATACCTACAAAGAGTAAGGCAGGTCCTGAAAAGTCAGCTGAATGGGAAAAACAAGATCCAAGCCATCAACACAAATGCCCTACCAGTCATCAGATACCCCGCTGGTATAATAAACTGGCCAAAGGAGGAGATAGAGGCTACTGACATCAAGACGAGAAAGCTCCTCACAATGCATGGAGGGTTCCACCCCAAATCCAGCACTCTGAGACTGTACACCAAGCGTAGTGAGGGAGGTCGAGGGCTAGTGAGTATCAAGACCACTGTCCAGGATGAAACAACTAAGATCCAGGAGTACATCAGAAAGATGGCCCCCAAAGACAAATGGCTCGGTGAGTACCTCAGGCAGGAGAAAACCGAAAGTGAGAACAAGAAAGAGGAAGGAGAACCATCATGGAAGGACAAGCCACTGCACGGCGTATACCACAGACAAATAGAAGAAGTGGCTGATATAAAAAAATCCTACCAGTGGCTGGAAAAGGCTGGACTGAAGGACAGCACAGAGGCACTAATCATGGCAGCACAAGAACAGGCACTCAGTACAAGATCAATAGAGGCCAGGGTCTACCACACCAGGCAGGACCCCCGATGCAGACTGTGTAAAGATGCCTCTGAAACAATACAGCACATAACAGCAGGGTGTAAAATGCAGGCAGGAAGTGCATACATGGAACGCCACAACCAGGTAGCTGTCATAGTGTACAGGAACATCTGCCATGAGTATGGGCTGGAAGTCCCAAGGTCAAAATGGAAGACACCTCCTAAGGTAGTTGAGAATGACCGAGCTAAGATCCTATGGGACTTCAAGATCCAGACTGACAAACAGGTGATGGCTAACCAACCAGACATCGTGTTGATGGACAAGCAGCAGAAGAAGGCAGTAGTGATAGATGTGGTAATCCCAAGCGACAGCAACATCAAGAAGAAAGAACACGAGAAGCTTGAGAAATACCAAGGACTGAAGGAGGAGCTAGAAAAGATGTGGAAAGTGAGAGCAGCAGTGGTGCCAGTGGTAATTGGAGCACTGGGGGCTGTGACCCCCAAACTGGGAGAGTGGCTACAGCAGATTCCAGGTAAAACATCAGAGGTCTCTGTCCAGAAGAGCGCAGTCCTAAGAACAGCTAAGATACTGCGCAGAACCCTCAAACTCCCAGGCCTCTGGTAGAGGACCCGAGCTTGAGGATGACACATACCACCCCACGAGGGGTGAGAAAACAGTTTTTTTTTATATATATATATATATATATATATATATATATATATATATATATATATATATATATATATATATATATATGTGTATATATGTATGTATACTTCCTGAAAGTAATTTATGTGTATGTGCAATATGTTTCTCTTTAGCTGCATGCATAAAAAACATTTAAAAAAAATTTTAATTACTTAATTGACAAAGTTAACCTTGTTTTTTGTATTTATGCTCACAATGTTCATGAACTTTGGTGTGGATGTTCTAGACCAAATTTACCAGGGAGGGGGGCTGGAAAATTGAATTTTATTAATCAATTTATTTAATGGATAACACAGAACATAAGCATAGAAAACAGGCACACAGAAAAACCCCAATGAAAAACAGAGGAAGAGAGCATTGTTTAGTGTATTAAGTGAGCCACAAAGCCAAGGATGCAGAAACCTGATCCAACAGAGGAAAGCTGTAATTCTATTTTAACATTCAGGTGAATCTTAAAGCTCATTCTAATTTCTAAATTCCTGTTTAGGTAAAGTGTAAAGGCATAAATTATAACTGGCCTAAAAGATAATTCGGTTATATATGCACTCTTTTTATACCATTGGAAAAGCCCGATCAAAATATAGGTGAACATCTCTTAAAATCAGTTTATTTCCCCTTGATTTGAGCCAGTG